AAGATAATAAACATACCAATATACATTCTTGTCATTTGTTCCCTTGGAGGTAGATTAATACAAAGTGCAACATTGTGTTGCTCCCATTGAAGAAATGAGAATAGTGCAATAAACAACAAAACAAAAAGTTTGGACATTTTTTAGAGCAATGGGCAACACTTTTTGTATTTGACGTGTTTTACGTGATGACAAGCTTGACATGTCGTAAGCATGAACTTCATGCTTCTGTTTTGAATGAAATATGTTACGTCGTAATCTTTTTTAAACGAATGTGAGGCTGAGAAGAATGATGAATTTCTGCAAGCTATTTGAGCTCAGGTCTTTACGATACAAGAGACGTTAATTAACGTTAATAAATATTACAATTTACTATTTGAGCAATGACAAACAATATTTTAATCAAGGCAACGCAAAGATAATCAGTTTACTTTGATCCACTTACAATCATCTAAGTGGAAAGTGGAAGTCAACACAACATCAATTCAACAACATTTCCGAACGACAATCAATAATAGAAAGCCTTTGAGGTTTACCCACTATTCTTCAGAAACTTTAGAAGTGACGGTCACTTATTGAGGGAGGATTGGCATCAACGCCAAGCCAATTGAGAAGTTTGCTCTTGTTGAAGAAATAATAAAGACATGTTTGAATTGTACCAGAAAATTTTTTCCATCTGGAAGGCATGATCCAAGTCCAAGAAAATGTCCAAATTTGCAGAAATCAGGATGAAGTTTCTTGTTGAGGATTTCTCTTGCTGATTTACACAATTCTCCATGTCTTTGTTGTTCATAGAATCGTTGAAGAAGTTTCATGTCATAGTTTAATCGTTCAATTTCCACAAGAATAGGTGTTTCCACAATAACAGAAGGTTGTTGATCTTCTAATGGAACGCTTTTACGAGGAATTCTGATGAGAGATGATTTTTGTTTCTTACGTTTCATTCTTGCCACAAATCCTTGTTACAGATGACAAGCATGACATACAATTAGGGAAACAACCACCAATGTGCCTATTTCATATATTAAATGAGTAAGAAAACAAATTTTTGTTTCCGTAAACAATGATGATTTGGCTCCAAATCATTTTTATTGTCAGAATTCAAGTGTTGAATGTCTGACATGAGTCTACCATGAAATTAATTGGATGGAGCATTACGGCCATCTTGGCCTTTTCCGTGAGGAAAGCAATTTTTCATAATTGGGATCAAGAAAAAGTGAAGAAAACACTCACAACTGGTGATGCAAACGAAAAGAAAATATTAATTGCCTCGTTGAATCTCTGTTGCATACTTTTCTCACCTCATATGATGTTCATATCTTGAAGGACAAGACAGCATGAAAAAATTTATTATTCATGAAGAAGAAGAAGAATCTGCAAACGAGGAAATAGGAGAACATGGCTATAAAGAATCAGAAACAGAAACCAATAGACCAACAGTGATTGGTAAAAGATTCAAGAGAACAAGAAATCATATTGCATAAATGGTAATTGATGTTACAGATCCAGGAGAAATATATGACGCTTCTGTAACTTTGTATAAAACATATAAATCAAATAATTATCTGGCAAGAATGGGTTATTTTCATACATGTAATTTCTTTAGATACAGAAATAATATTCAAAGGAATAGATGATCATTATGATAAATTTTGGAATATTGTTGATAAAAAATATGAAGAATACATACAAATGAAATTGTTAAGAAAATTGATAAATTAGTTGATAACTTTTCTATGAAAAAAGTTTCTGATTCTGTGAATACACTTATTGAGGGAACTGATTATAATATTCATGATAATTTTAAAAAAGATGAATTTGCAAATATTAATGATAAAATTTTATTGAGGAGAACAGAATTGATAGAATCTCACGCTAAAAAATTTAAAAATGTTAAAAAAAGGTTTAAAAGAGATACTAGTGTTTCATCAGATTCTTCATAAGATACAACTTATGTTGTTGTTATGCGCCAATATTAATCACACAGTAGCCATTCCAATTTTAATTTTTGGCAGCACAACAAATTAACGAGAACACAAACTTTACCGTGGCCAAGCGTCTTCTTCATTAAATGTTTTTTCTCTTACAATATATTAATAATAATAAAAATACCAGCAACTACCTCTTATTCAAATATGATGAAACCAACTACATCAACACAACTACGAAACATCATTCACAACATCACCAAACCTTACATTTATTGTAAGAAGATTATGATGAGAGTTCACCGGTAAGAGTCCATATGTGATTACTCGACACTCTAGGTTTAAACATTTTTGAATCTATTCGTGAAAATCGTAATAATTGTTATTGAATTGTTGTTTCAAGGTTATTGTTGTTGTTGTTGATATTGTTATTAAATTACCAACAACAAAATACTCCACCAACCATCAAGAGTAGTTTGGGAAAAGTTTCAACCTCATCACCTACAATTATTACACAAATCCAATAATGATGTTAGCTTGAAACATAATTGTTCCAAAATGTTAGAACCTTTCAAATTTAGCTACTGGTAAATGTTTTTGTTACTATGATGAAGATATTAAAACAGCACCACGTAAACATTATTGTACAAACAGGATTATCTCATTCCAAAATCTACCATTCAAAATGAAATATCTGCAATCAATCCTAAAAACAATTAATTCTACCTTTATACCAACATTTAACACAAACCAGTTACTAGTATTGTTGGAAGATTAAGATTTATTTTGTCTCTATGATATGCTCAACCACCTGAATTACACTAAGCTTCATTTCAACATCAAGCAGCAGTACACTCAGGAGATTTCATTTTAAATGGAGTTGGTGAAATGTCCTTCTCTTTCCAATACTAATATTACATATATTCTACAATTCTTTCCAGATGAGGAAGTTCTCTATACTAAACTCTTGCTCAAAATGCTTTTTGAAAAGTTCATTAAGTTTTAGATCTGGCATTGTATCATTCAGACAATTACTTTAGCTCTTCCAATTTACCACGTTTTTGCTTTTCTCTATTGAACGAGGCCACCAATGAAATAACAACTGGCAAGACCATCAAACAACACAACAAATAAGAATCAAACAACCCAATGTTTTACTACGTCATTGGTTTGAGTATCCTTTCTCAACTTCAGTTCCAATAAGCCATAGTCATAATCCTCCTTTTTATCGATATTAACAAGAATTTCCAAAGCATCATCCTTTTCACCTACTCATTCTTCAAATCCCACAGCAACAATAACCTATTATAAAGCCTTCCAATGCGAGATGGAATTGGAGGTATTGAGGTGAATACATGTTGTGGTTCAGTTTCTATGTCCAACACTAAATGTCTAGTTGTGACTATTCTCATTCTCAATATCATGGCATTCTGTATTTTGCTAGCTCTCTTGATAGATATTTATATTGAAAAGGTTCAAAATTTAGAATCTATCACTGTGAACTGAAATTCTTTCATATAACTCTCCAATTGCTGCCTCATTTTCCAAAGAAAATGTTACCAAATTCTTTGTGGACAGATATGACAAATATCATCCTAAATATATGACTCTGATGAACGAAATTATTTAATTGATTCCACTTGCTGTTGGTCAAATTCAGTGTATGTTCACTAAAGAAATACAGTTTTAAAAATTGAAATCAAAGCATAAGACACGATAATGACATCACTCTCCAAGCTTAAG